AAAAACAGTTTCTTGAATTAGAAATATAAATTGTTGTAAACATAAGTTAAAAGTATATATAAGATCATTTTTAAAACAGTTTCCTCAATTTATTAAAAAAATTAAAAAAAATTTAAATATTTTAAAATTTAACCATGTCGGATTATATTGTACTTATTGTTTTATATAAATAAATTGATTACTTTTTTCTAAGAAAAATTGCCTTGTGTATTTTAAAATTCACCTTATTTAACGCATTCACTAATATATATATATATATATATATATATATATATATATATATATATATATATATATATATATATATATATATATATATATATATATATATATATATATATATATATATATATATATATTAAAAATTAAAATTTACCTTATTTAACTCAATCGCTATATATATGTGTATATATATATATATATATATATATATATATATATATATATATATATATATATATATATATATATATATCAGGCGTTGGCATGAAGCGGGAGCGATTGCTTGCGTCGAGTGAAACACACTCATTAATGGAATATTTATAAATTGTGGGTGCAAAAAAAAATGCTCGCTAATTTAGTTACGAGAGTAAAAAATCATGCTCGTCCTAAAAATTTGAGAGGGAGAAAACTAATAATGGTTTACTTGATTTTATATTAAATTTTTTTTTAATGAAAAGTTTTTATCAAAGATTCTTGTTTAATTAAACAAAAAAGTTTGCTTATTGTTAAAAACAAAATAATCTCTATTCACATAATTTAATTGCATTTTTTTTAATTGAGGTAAAATGTTAAAGTTATTTCAATTAACTATAGTAAATTGATGCTTTAAGTAAAAGTTAATTCAATTAAAAAATTAATTTTTTCATGTTAACTTAGTCATTCTGTTGAAATTAAAGCGCAAATTTCTACGAGCAATGAATGGTGATTTGTGAATAAGACTTCTTTATATCAAACATTTTCACAAACATTTAACTAAATTAAATTAAATTTTATTTATTTATAAAACTTTATTAATATTATTAAATTGTGTAATAAATACAAATTAATTATGAGAAACGTTAATTTAATTTTGTAAAGCATTTGCTAAAAACCATATGAATAATAAAAAATTTTTATTTAATTTCAAAAAAAATATTTCTAAAAATGTTGTTTTGACGGAATAGTTTGCTTATCGTTAAAAACAAAATAATCACTATTCACATATTTTTAATTGAGTTTTGGCAGTCAAAGTAAAATATTTTTAAAAACTCATTTTCTAAATGATAACCTAAAATGTTTTCGGCCAAAATTTAACTAAATTTAAAAAGCTTTTGTTATTAAAATTATAACTTATTATTTATAACTTAATTAAAATTATAAATTTATTTGAGGAAAAGAAAAGTTTAAGTTTGCGAAAACATTTGCTAAAAAAGTTATAAAATTCTATTAGCGTTAGCATCGAAAAAACATTAAATATGTTTTAACGAAAAGAAATCATTATTTAATCGTTTTAATGTTTTAATGATGCAAAAACATTATGAACTTATATTTTAATTAAACGAATAAAACAATGACAAAAATAAAAGCTTATAAACTTCTTTCAAATAAATTCGATGTAATAATAAAAATTGATTGTAGTATTAAGTTAAAGATAAAGATAATAACAAAGAAAATACTTAAAAATACTTAAACTGTTCTTAATGATCTTATTTTAAATATTCTTCAAAACAAGCTCATTAGAACAAGGCGGAAAAAAAAACACAATCAGATGCAATCAAATACAAAATAAGTATTTTTTTTTTTTTTAAATTTTTATTTTAATTCACCTCCTCAAGGCCGAGAAGGCCACTACAGACGAGGAGGCTACTTATTTGTGGTTATAACCCTCTCTCAACTCTATAACTCCGAAACACGAACCTTGACAAGCAAGGCCGCTGCTCGGAGAAACGAGTTGAGCGCGGTACTACCAGGGACGTGGTGGTGATCGAACTCGGAATCACTCGTTTATGAAGCGAGCGCTCTACCACTACACGCATATTTAGGAAGTCGAAAGAATTTTAAATGTTTTCGAGCGCACATAATTGCGCTCGCTAAAAAAATATTTGAGTTTTACGGGCGCGAAACATCTCGCTTGACAATTTTTGTCATGCCAAGGCCTAATAAATATATATAAATACATATATCAATATATATATATATATATATATATATATATATATATATATACATATATATATATATATATATTTATATATATATATATATATTTATATATATATATATATATATATATATATATATATATATATATATATATATATATATATACATATATATATATACATATATACATATATACATATATACATTAAATTGCAATTAAATTCTAATCAAAATAAATTTTCTATTTTTGCTGGGAGTTACATTTACAGCAAGATTATTTTATTTTATATATGTTTAATTTTAATTAATCAACTTGTTTCATTATGAGATTATGAGCAATCTTCTAAAGTTTTCATTTAAATCGCTTCTTTTCTTTGTTTTTGATATACTGCAGCCATTTTTCAAAACGCCTTAATTACGTTTTTCGAGAAAAGCGCAATTAAAAAAAATTATTAGGAGAAACTCTTTGTAAAACGCTTTTTGAAACTAATAATTTTTATGAATTTTTTTAGAACTCTTTGAAAATATGTATTCAATAACGTTTGTAGACTTCTAAACTAGCATATTTTGTAAAAATGTCAAAATTGATTTTTTTTACCTAAAGGCCTTTTGAAAAATGGTTGTAGTATAGTAGAGAGAAAACAAGAACAAAAGACAATTGTTTGCAGTTTTAATGAATAAATTATTAAATTTCATTGAAACTTTGATCTATTTTCATTGCGTAATTCGCTTTTTAAATACAGGTTTAAACGATTAGTTCTGAAGAAATATATTTGAATATATAACTATTTAAATACTTTTAAATTTAATTGGCATATTGAAATATCTAATTAATTAGGTATTTGAATAAGAAATATATTTAAATACAAAATTATTATTATTTTTTTAATTTACAAATATACATTAAATATCTATGTAATGTTTGTATTTGTAAATTTGTAAAAAATTGTATTTTTAAATATTGGCTAATAATTAATAATATTATAATATTATTTAGTTATCTTCTTTTATGTTTTATGCAAATACAACATAGATAATATGTTTCATTGCAAGTTTGATTTTTGATTATTTTCGTTGTTATCTTCTTTAACTAAAAATATTAAAAAATCTTTAATTATTAAAACGTTATTAACTTATTTTAAAGTATAATATTTATTAATATGCGAATTTCTTTGTAACTTTCCTAACTTAAGATAAACAGCAAAAACCTAAATATAGAGTTTTTGAATAATAAAAATAAATTAATAAAATAATTTATAAAACATATTGAAAAATCTGAACTCAAGAATAAGTGACGTCAATAAAAACTAAAAAAAAAAGTTTTTTTTAAACTTTTGAATGAATGATCTTGTTAAGGTTAATGAGGCTTGTTTTTGGGTAACACCCTGTATGGTTATATATATATATATATATATATATATATATATATATATATATATATATATATATATATATATATATATATATTATATATATATATATTTATATATATATATATATATATATTATATATATATATATATATATATATATATATATATATATATATATATATATATATATATATATATATTATATTTATATATATATATATATATATATATATATATATATATATATATATATATATATATATATATATATATATATATATATATATATATATATATATATATATATATATATATATATATATATATATATATATATATATATATATATATATACGAAGACCTTGGTGGAAAAACCGGCGTTTTCACATTTCAAAAGTTTTGAGAAAGAATTTATTGATTTAACTTATTCATAATTTAAATCAATGATTTAACTTATTCATAATTTAAAGTAACTTAAATAAATAATCTTTTAAACAATTTTTAGAAAGTCATGGAAAAATAATTTTAATTGTTTTAATTTATTATATAAAATACATGCCTTATATTTAAATATAACATATAATTTACATTAAAATTGTGTTTATTTTAAACGATCATTATAACTAACTTTTTATTTAAGCCTTTGCCTAAAAAAAAACTTTAAAAAAGATCAACAAATAAAAGTCATTTTTATTGTAACAATTTTTTTATGCATTTAAATTGTTAAAACATTGAAACATCTGTGGTCAAATTGTAAAGATAAAAATATATAAGCGTGGTCAGTTGCATGCCATTCCTGTCCAAGCCTAGTATTCATAATGATTTTCTTATAGCATTCTTAATTATCAAACATTTTTAAAGAGTTTCCTCTGATTTTTTCCAATGTTATCATCTCATTCAACATGACTGCCAATGCGATTGTTTTCGTTGACGTCAGAACGACTTAATATTTAATAGGGTACTTTAAAAACAGGTTTTTTTGAAAATATTTACTGGCACCCCCTTAATATGTTCTATATAATAAATAATATTGGATTTAAAAGTTTTTTGAATAAAATATATTTTTAGGGGTTGCTACAAACCCTCGAACATTAAATGGGTATTTAATGTTCCTTATATTATCGAAACAAAAAAAAATGTTTTTCAAAAGTATGTTGGGTCACAAACGAAGCGAAATTATATAAAGATTTTAAAAATAATCATCATTTTATAAAAAACATCAAGAAAAAAAAAAATCATAATCAAAAAATTTTGTTGAATTCCTTTTTTTTGTTTTTATTTGAAAAAATGTCATTTTCTTGTCTCTAATGTCTAAAATACTAATATAATAATAAAACGATTAATGTTTTTATAAAAAAAGTTATTCAAATAAACTTCTTTTTTTTTTTTTTCTTTTTTTTTAAACAATTTAAATATTATTAGGAAAAATGAAAAGATAGTTTATTAGTTGCAAATGATTGTGAGATAATGATTATTTATTAGGAAAAAAACCTGTAGTTGAAGTTACAGATGAGATGCGTGAAATGGAGATCAAAGAAGCTGCTGAGCAGCGATACGATTATGATAGTGAAGAAGAAAAAGAAGTTACTAAAGATAGCTTAATAGAAGAGACTGTTGATAAAAATGGTTATTTCTTTTTTCTTTATTAGTTTTCATTAACATTTTGTATCCTCAAATATTTCTTCAATTTAATAATGTTCAAGTGTTATATAAAATATTCTTGCTGTAGTTATTCTGTTTTAGTTTAAAATTGTTTTCTTATATATTTGAAGAATTTACTTTAAAATGTAAAAAGCAATAAATGGAACTGTAAATGGAACTTAAAGAAGTAATAAAAAATAAATTCTTTTTTTTTTTTTTATTACTAAGAAAAGTATTTAACCAGGCAAAAATTTTTTAGACATTGAATTTATTTCCTAAAAATATTAACTGTATCACACTTCAATGCAGGTTGGGTTAAGATTCACCAATCCTATTTAGAAGTATAGCAAATTGAATCTTCATTTCTTTCAGTAATGTGAAACTAGGGGCTAGGGTTTTTCATAAATATTTTTTAAAATTATTTTTTTTTGTTGCTGTGTTAATATTTTCAAAGATAATAAAATAAGTCAACAAAATAAAGTGAGTCAAAAATTATCATAAATTTTTTATTTTCACTGTTTGTGTATTATATTATATACATGACATTATATTACATATTGTATTATACAATTGCGTGCCATATTTGCCATTGCACATTATTTTGTAAACAATGAAATAATTTTTTATTGTGTATAATTTTCTATACATTTAGATTTTTATAGTTTCAATATATATATAAAATACAAATTAATAAATACAATAATGATTAAATATAATAATAAGTATTAGATTTTCATAAAAGTTCTGAATGTTTTCTTTTATCTAATTTTTGAAGCATTTTTCTGTATAAAATATTTAATGCAAAATGATGTTGTTATACACTATTATATAACAACTTTTCTGCTATACAAGATTTTCTGCTTTACAAGATTGAACTATCAAATTTTACTTACCTCTAATTCATTCCCATTGTTTTAGAAAAAAAACAGTGGGACTTGTTGAAGAAGCAATATCAAATATTTTTTTATTTTAACTTCAAATCAGGACAATGTACTACAAAAGTGTGTTGGAAAAGTTTAGAAAAGCACTGTAAATTGTTGGCTCTAGAAATTTCAGAGTAGAAGTTTTAGCTTACAAGATGAATGGTAGACCAACGATAATCTAGAATGAGGATTTGAAGAACCTAGTGGAAGCTGACTCATCCTAAATTGCTTAGGGGATTGCAAATGAACTAGGTGTTAGTTACCATGCTTTTGCAGATGGTTTGAAAACAAATTGGAAAAGTTAAAAAAGTTAAAAGAAGTCAGTACAAATAGAGATGTGACGTATTTTTTTTATTTTTTTTGATCGTTTTTTTGAAAAAATAATGCAGGGGTCTGTTTTTTTGTTTTTTTAGGAAATATTCAAAAATTCATTGTTTAAGCTACTAAATTTAACTTTAATAGCAATATATTAGTTCATATTTTAATTTCTGATTTAAATAGGACAATGAATACTGAAATTTACTGAAATTATTTTTATTTTGGTATGCTTAAAAGTTAACACGGTTGAAGCAGTCCTGTATAAAAACTTCTTTGATAATTTTATCTACCTCAATTTTATCTTTATTGGTTTTAATGCATATTGACACAGTAAACATTGTTTATTTACATTTATTATATTTAATTAGATTTAACAATTAACAAATGAGACTTAGCTGAGTCAAGCGAGAATGAGTTTTTGTTGATAGAACTAGAGATGATAACTCTTTTGAGCAGCGACCATGATAGAATTTGTAGAAAAAAGAAATAGATGCAACTTTACGAAAATGGGAAAGAGGCTCAAGCTTAGTAGATAGAGCAGTTCCATCTATGTTTACAATGCGTTTTTTTGACCTTGTATGGAAGAAAAAGGGCAGCATTAGAAGAACCAGTCCAAATATTGCAACAGCTTTTCATACAGGGACAAAAAGATATTTGTAGAGGTAGAGAATAGAATCAAGGGTAAGAAAATGACGATGATGATAAAAGGATGCTAATTTAGAAATTGATTTTATATTTTGTTTACATGAAAGGTCAGTAGTAAATGATAATCCAAGAAGATGTAAAAAAGAGGACTCAGAGGGTTGCCATTTATTAATATAGGAATGTTGACAGTATTGTGGATGTAGTTTGCATTAAATAACTGAGTTTTGTAGGAGTTAAAATTTATAAGCCAAAATATGTGAGCCCCAATCTGTTGCAGAAGTGAGATCAGATTCAAAATTGGCTGCTTGTTCTAAGCGATCAAAAAGAGAAGACTGTCAAGACAGGAGTAAAAACTTGAGTCATCAGCAAAAAGAACTACTATAGATGTAGGGTTGTCGGGAAGATCAATAATGTAGATAAGAAACAAAACAAGACCAAGAATAGAACCTTGAGATACCCCAGAAGTTACTGGAAATATTTTCTGAACCAAATGAGCAAAATAGAAAAAGATAAACGATCCTCTCGCCATAAGATTATGTCTAAAAATTGAACTCGAAAAACAAAGCATGTTTAAGAATTTTGCAAATGTTCTGTTATAGTGTTATATGAAAATGTCTAGATAAATAAATCATGTAATTAGAAAGAAAAAATGCAGATAAATAAATTACAAATAAAAAAATTACGAATCATCAGGTAAATAGGGTCTGGGAAACTCCGTAAATAATAATAATTAAAAAATTTTAAAATTTCTATTAAATTAAGGTCAGTATAGGACTTTTTTTTTTTACAAGGGCCTACTAGGAGTATATATTTATTTGACAAATATAACAAACAAACAATGGAAGACTTAATTACTACACAATATACAAATGCTCAATTAAGTAAACAATCTTGATAGATTTCTTATTTTTTTGAGCATTCAAAGTCTGATATTAAATTTGCATGGTATTATGTACTAATATATTTACATTATCAGGCCTTGTTTTAAATAAAAAAGTGCTTAATGCATTAGCTTAATGCGATTTTGACATCATAAAATTATCTTAATTTTTTTTTATAGACGTTAAGTGTTTTAACTACCGCAATAAATAAATAACCGATAACTAGTTCAATTTAACAATTAACTCAAATAACTATAAACGTTTTAAATGTAAATTTATTATGAAAAGTTTGTAATGTTTTCAATTGTTATTTTATTATTAATTTTAGTTCAATATTATTTAGTAAAAAAAAATATATATATATATATTTTTTTAATTATTTCTGAAATTTGTTTTTGAATAATTATTGTTTATAAATCGTTATTGAATAAAAAATATTTTTATTTTTAAAAATTTCTAGAGTAAACAAAAAATATTAACATTGATAAACAAAAACCCATGTTAATTATTTAAACAGTGATTTTGTTTTGACTAGCAAAGAATAATTTAGGTTTTTTAATATTTTTTAAGTTTATCTTGCTTGGCATTTCAACTTGCATTATATAAAAATATAAAAATGTTTTGTCTGCTTTGAGCATATTTTTGATACATAGTTTAGAACGCGTTCGCCAGGAATTTAATTCATAAAATTTTTATGTTATTGTAAAAATGTTTTACATTTTAAACAAATCACAAAGAAACAGAGCTATAGAGAAAAATCGTTTTTAACAATTAAATCTTTTTTTTTTTTAATTTTGGAAAATTAAAAAAAAAATTAAATTAAATATAAAAGTCCTAATTATGCAAACTCTTTTGTTAATTATTCTTAAAACAAAAAACAAATACTTCTACGCAAAACTTTAATCGTGCAAACTTAAAAAAATACTCCACTAAAATAATATAAGTATATTTAATAATTTGAATCGTATCTGTTTATAATAAACGTTCGTAAAAATTTGTTTATTAAAAATTAAGTTCCTTAACTTATAAACAAACTCAAAAGTATTTTCATTCTACGTATAATTACAAAACTCTTTTTTTTTTTCGTTTGTAAGCAATTTAAGTTAATAAAATAAAAAAAGAATAGATATGAGATAATCTTTGTTAAGAACAAATTTAATTTATTTATTGAACTACATTTTTATTTTTATTTATATATCAACTTAATTAGAATATAGTAACATGTTAAAATATTTTAACATGACTTGTGTTATTTATAAACCGTAGGGCAGCTGTCCTTACTGCACCATTGTTTTTAGATAATATTTTATTTTGATGAAGATCACATAACTTACATCTGATTTTAATACTGATTGATTTTAATAATAATAAATAGTAATAAATAATAATAAATGATTTTAATATTTTAATAATAATAAAGTCTTCTTTTTTTCTGTGATCATCGCATCGGCAAAGTCCCAAGATTTAAAAGTTTTTAAAGTAAATCTTTTGTCCTTCAAAATACAATCCATATTCGAACTTTAAACAATTTAGAGAGAATAAAAATATACAAGGTTTTTATATACTAGTTTGTCTTGTTTTATAAAGAAAAATACATATTCATTAGTAAAAAATAGAGACTGTCATTAAACTAAAATGTGCCTTAGTATTTATTTAAAGGAATCTGTAATGTGCACGTGCATAATGTAACCTCCGTTATATAAATATATTCAATTTAATATTAGTGTCATCAGCGGATGTTATAGTCTACTCGTGATTTCTTTACCTTATAATATAACTTGGTTTATAAAAAAAACTTATTGAATCGCACGCAGAAGGAATTTAACAAATTGTCTTCATTCAAAAATTGCGAGTAACAGGTAATTTTTTTTTCTATGCCGGCCCCCTCCCCTCGCATAACTTAAAGGTAAAGGTATCTATATACCTTTAACTAATAAGAAAAGCAAAGAGTAATAATGAAGTAATTTTTAGAAAAATACAAATAGATTGTTCATTCATTGGCACATTTTTTTAATATCTCGAAAAAATGTTTGGTATATTTGTGTTATCGTGATAACAATAATATGAAGACATTTTTTGAGATATTAAAAAAAATGTCAATCTTTAATTACAAATTTTTTTGCAAATGTTTTTTATTATAAATTCAATAAAAACGCTTAAAAAATCTCTATTACAAAAAACATTTATATTCTGTATTAATAAATATCGAATATAGATT